GGGTATTTTTCAAAACGATGACGTTTTAGTATCTGATCGCATTCATATACGCCATTGTACATAGCCGTTCATGCTGCCAAGCATTGTGTACTACTAGTATAAACTCAACTTTTATATGCACAATGTGCTTTTTAAAACTTGGGTTAGAGCATTATGCGTTTGAACCACAGTATTCTGAGAATGGAAGTCCAATTGCGTTAAAGTACCGTACTTCCCCGATCGTAAGCCCCTCCCGAGTATGAAGCCCATCCCTATATTTTTACTTGGTATTTATCGAGTTGAGAGCATTCACGATTATAAGCCCAGAGTGTTTTCACTGGGCGTCGACGATATTCTTTAAAATATGCGTGTAAAAGGTGTGTTTCATTTCATAATAATCGTGATTGGCATGGTAGTTTGGTTCGTGCTTTTATGAGAAATTAATTTCAAGGTGCATGGCGAACGTACACAACGTGGTTCGCATCTTTTCTATTCTGTAATTTACCTAGGATGAACCCCGATGTTGCAATACTGGAGTAATCCATATTTCTTTGAGTAGTAGCTTTCGAAAAGCCAAACATGTGATCGTTAAGTCGTGTACCTGGTTATTGGGCATGGTTTACTTTGAGACTATCATGAAAAGCCTAGGGTTTGAACGATGAGACATGTTGGCGATCGAGAAAGGTGTTTAAATTCTTCCTCCACACTCAGTTTACCCACGGTTACTATTAACCTTCGTTCATATTTCGGAAATTGCGAATCGCCAGATTTTAGGGAAAAAATCATCGTTTTTTCGTTGCAATAAGTGCTACAAATCGCATTTTAACATTGCGGTAATTCACTTCCGCATTGCGTTAAAAATTCATCGTCAATAATCGGAAAATTTCATCATTACGACACATCATTTTGATTGGTTAATGAAAGACATGACCTGTTAGGTCAAAGGAAGTTGTTCCAGGTCAAATCGTGCTAAAAAACCTTACGGTGGAAAATTACTTTGCGTCGAAAGTTTGCGTACGATAGAAAACATACCAAAACGAAGATATTGATAAATGCCTTCGTCCACTGTTTCCTCACAGACCCTACCCATTATTTCACCGTAAATTCAGACGGTATGTAAATCGTATTGTAATAAAATGTGTGTGTTTTTATGAACATGTTTGTTTCTTCATTGTAAGTGTCGTTCAAATCAATGACGTATTTTTTTTCTCAAAAATAAGTATTATTTTCCAGAGCCCGGCGTGGTGAACGAATAATTTGTTTGGATAATTTTTCGTTGTTTGCAAGATGGTTACAGTGTTTAACCCCAAAACAAAATCATCTTTTCTGAGTTGGTCCTCGAGTATAAGCTTATCCCTTACTTTTCCCTTACGTGTTCATGCCTCCGGGCTTATGATCAGGGAAGTACGGTATACCGTGAAGATTCAGATCAGTCCAGTGTGAGTGATGATAGTATATCGTCGACGATGCCCCTTGTTCGGATGATAGTTTTATTTCAAATTACACGGAAGTATGTGAACAATCTGCTTGGTGTTCCTGTGACAATTTTCCCATGATTTGACAGTGCAGCCCTGTGAATGCATGGACGAAAATGTTTCCACCACCACCCTACGAACTCAAGATTGCTTACTCCAGCATCCAGACTTTGAATAATTTGCACACCGCACAGTGCAGCACTGGAAACAGCATTTATTAGACAGTTAGACAAAAAACAAAACAAAATGCCTGTCTCGATCAATCGCACATCCATAATGTTTGTATGTTGATACGCTTGTAAATAACATTAACGTAAAAGTCGAAACAACCTAGACTAGAAGTCAATTCACCAGTCCAGCCAACTATGGCTCCCTAAATTGCTTATATTTAACCAGATACTATTTCGTCATCATGCTTTGTTACCTTACCTGTTTATACCTCATGCGGGCGTTTTTTATGGCAAGATGGCGCAAACGAAAGTCCTTCGCAGGTTTATGGTTTCTCATATTTAAATCATCATAACTCTGAAGATAATCATTTTTTTTTTTCATTTTTTTTTTCAAATTTATAATCAATATACATAACTTGATAAATACAAACGCCAATATAGACTCTATTTAGTTCCCCTTTAAATAGGAACACCTCAGACAAACACCATCATGTTATATATCAAATTAAAGCTATATTGGTGTAGCGTACAAGTATTACGTTGGATATTACATCGTATAATCCATTACTTATTGACATTATGAATTCATTAACTTTATTATACGTTATTCAAAATCATCAAATGGCATTT